CAAGGGGAAAACCAAAAAAAAAAAAAAAACCGAAACCCCTCTCGTCGTCAAGCCCTAAAAAACATTATTTATCTAGCTGGCTAGCTATTACTGTTCTGCATATTTTCACCGTCATTAGAACAGGACATTGATAAAGCCATCCACTTATCCCCATCACCCTCGACACATTGCTAAAGCAGTCCACCACCCTTTGCTTCCCTTCTTTTTATATATTCTTTTAGCTTGACTCCTCTCTCTCTCTCATTTGAAATATTCATATTACAAGTCTTTCTTCACAAGACACAAATCCTCTCTTTCCTTTCTATATTTCAAGCTTGATTCTCACCTCTGCCAACCCTTAGTATAACTGGACATGAATGTATATATATAGATGTTAAAATCACTGAACCTTGTGTGATTCTTCATGTTTCATATATATTAATCCATTTTTTTGCATGGCTAGTTCTCATGTAGGATCTCCCTATCTCACTTCTTTAACCATATTATTTTTCCTTCTTATCATGTTCCACACCACCATGGCCAACAAAGACAATAGATTCCTACTTAGTAACACAAGGGATGGAGGATATTTCAAGAAAAGCCGCATGGAGTTTTCTACTACGAGACCTGACATGGGCAATGCAAAGACAGTTTCAAAGGCTAATGTTATCCACATTCCTCCACAGAGTAGTAGAAGGAGAGGCCGGTTTCGAGCTCATAGATCTCCATTACCATGGCAAGAAGGAATTTTCAGTGCTAGCGCCCATGAAGTTCCTAGTGGTCCAAATCCCCTTTCCAATAGGTGAGAGGAGAATGAAGTACCAGAGCACTCAAGCTCAACTTTCTTTAATTATGTCTTAGGTTGTGTTTGTTTCTTCTTTTTTTTATACAGTTATTAATTAGGTTTTCTTGTTAGTTCTTATATATATATATATATAAAACATTGTGAGATCACTACAGTTTATTCTTATAATTACTGGTTTCCCAGACAGTTCCTATCCACCAATCATCTAACCATGAGATATCTGTAAATGATGATAATGATATTTGGGGATTTCTTTTAATGTTGAATGCTCATGATTATGCCACACTTCTTCTTTTGTTCGCTTCTCTCAATTATTGCTACCAATTGCCCATGGTTTTACTAATTACTGTCCCCTTTTATTAATTTATCTCCCCCAACCGAATCATTTAATTTATTCAGTCATTACCACTTGACCAAAAAGATTACAGAAAAATTAATGAGTGGGTACGTAATTTATGGAAGAAGCCGAAAAGTAATTATATAAAACCTCAAAACAAAATGTCAATAGCATATTTAAACATATATCATTTTTCAGGAGCTATAATAAAGTACTAGTGTATAGTATTTTTTTTTCCTTTATATGAAAAATGGTTTTGCTTGTATATAGTATTATGGTTTATAGAAAGCATGTTGTTCCTTTTTAAGGCCTACCCTTCTTCAGATGTAATGTCATATTTAAATACTCACAGTCTACAACTGAAGTAATATTGGAATAAGGTATCATTTCAAATCCTAGAATTTTTTATTTGGATTTAATTATATATCCTTAAATAAAAAGATAAAAGGAAAAAAAAGAAGAAGAAGAAGGAAAAAGTATGAGTAGTTACTCGCTGAATTTACTTTGAAAAACATCGATAAATGTTAAAAAAAATTCAAATTCAATACCTATTAAAAATGATAAGAATATTTTCATATGAGCTAAAATACATTTTTTATTTTTCTTTTGTTTATCTCTTTTTATATTTATTTTTTAAAATTAAATATAAATAATTATTCTTATAAAATCTAAGATTTTTCTAATAAAAACAAGAAGTATAAATTAGTAGATTTAGCTAAGCAAATTAAGAGACAGTGGTAATTTCATGAGCACGTCAAAAAGGTGATCACCATTTCCACTTTTAATTCAATATGAAAATAATGATTTTTTTTGTATTTAAAATTGTGTTTATATGCATTTTAAAAATATATTTAACTTGAGAAATATCAAATTTATATTTTTTAAATAATTTTGGATGATTTTTACATGTTAATATTAAAAATATTTTAATATATTTTTCAATAAAAAAAAAATGAAAGGCACGAGAGAGGTGGAATGAGAGAGATAATGATTACAAAATATACGTGGGTTTGGGCTTTTGTGTAGGACGAGACTAAATAAAATTATGAAGGGCCAAATTACCATAGTTTTGCGTGTAAAGCAGGCGTGAAGGGTCCCTTTTCTTTCCTCATTTCAATTTCCCAAAATATCCCTGCTTCTCTCCTGTTTACCACATTTACTGCCACTCTGTCTCTTTCATTCTTAAAGATGCATGAAATGAATCACCATAAAAGGGTCCTCTCTGTCCATATCTGCCTCAACCATGTCTTCATCCTCTTGTTGGCTACCTCCACTTGTTTGTTTTTTAATGCAAGGAACTGCTCGCATTAATTTGCTTGTTCTATTGACCGCTATGCTCTCCCAAGTAAACTTAGACAGGAAACAAGCATGAATTTAATTCGAACTTTGAGAAGTATATTTTGAAACGATCGATCAAGCACCTGTTCTTTATGATGACCAGAGTAAAAACTTGCACTGCCAAAAAGAAAAATGAAGTCCAATGCCTGGCCAAACAGAGAGACAAGGGAATCTAGCTAGCTGTATATTGTTCAAGGATTTGTTACTTCTAAGTTAATGACGTTTTGAATGATCACATATTCCTTTGTGGAACGCAAGCATTCGTGCATGGAGTAGGTTCGAAATCATCCCATTAAGATTACGAGTTAAGATTTTACTGTAGATTATACTATAATGTTCTCTTTTTTCTTTTTTCTTTTTAATCCTTCAATTTGTTCATTTGAAGTGTGTTAATTTGAAATCGAGCTTGATGGTTTGTTTTGGTTGCTTACCTTGTAGGATC